CCCCCCCCCCATAACTGGAGCATACCCTGTGGTATCCTTTCTTAAACAGGGGTACCACAACCCTCGTTGTTCAGTCGATTGTTCTTTTCCTCGTAGTCACTGAAATTTGACAAACATGTGCTAGCCACAGTACACTTTGTTTGTCTAAGGCTTTAAGCATTTCAGAACGGATTTCATCGATTCCAGTAGCCTTGCTGCTTTTCAAGCCCTTTACAGCTTCTGAGACTTCATCTACTAAAGGACCAATATCGGTTGCCTACCACGCTTCAGCCACCAAGATGAAATTTTCGTACTTGACAACTGCATTGCATTATACTCGCAGACAGCTCAATAGAGTAAATTCACTAGTTTGACAATGTCAGCATACTTCACTCACTGAGGGCTTCAGATTCGTATTTAACATGAGGAGTTAAATCCAGTGACTCAAGCAGACGGTCACCGTCCAGCTATAAAGATTAGAAGCGATGACTACAGCACCGGGCTTGAGAGCAACCAGCGGTCTGCGCCGAAAAAAACGTACATTAAAAACTTCATAAACCTTGAGTACTTTGATAATAGTCTATCCAGCAGAGTAATTTGATAATAGTCTATCGGCAATATCAAAAATCTGGAAGAAACACTGATATTTATTAAACTTCCATAGCGTAATTTACTAATTAATGCCACTCTGCCATGAGCAGTATCGTACATTTGTCAAAGAAGACTAAGGTTTGGAAGCAAGCACTTTTCAAAGCTTAGAAACAATCCGTTTAAAGTTCTTCTGCCCTTTGGATGACGTGGGTAGCAGCTTCAAGAAGCTATTCAGATGGACCCTCGTCAAGTCTGTTCCGCCTAGAGTCATTGTGCTTTACGGCTTGTGCATGCAGAAGTTTGAGGATGCTTATCAAATGGAGCAGACAACGATCAAAGTAAGAGATGACTCCAGCAGTGAAATAAGATTAAGCTTGTTCCCCTTAACATTTACTTTAGCTGTAAGGGCCAATAGTGAACCCTGAAAACGGACACCCGAGACTCTGGTGAAATACTGTACAATTTCGACTGGAAGCCATACATACCCAATGGCTCAGAGTCGCTGCCAATGTTCTGAGGTCGGCAACTGAACTCTAATTAGTGAAAGCCAATGACCGCCGCTCAATTAGAGGGAGGCATTTGGTCACATCGGAGTAACGTGGTCGCTATTAAGCGCCCTGCGACTCCCCGCTTCAACGAGACAGAGTAGAAAAAAGACATTAACCAGTAAAATAGTAATATCACAGGATTTTAGCCCATATCTAGTCAAAGCGGTGGGTCGGGGATAGTCTTATGATTGACTTAACCATCCCTGTCGACAACAAGCATATAACGATGTCGGAACGGTAAATCTGAAATGTCTTTGTGTGTACTGAAATCTAACTTCCCTACCTGTAATACTGTATGTCACAAGATGCTCAGCCATTCTTAGTTCTTCGCTGAGGACTTCCAATACTTCGAGAGTTTGCAGAACTTTACGACATGCTGTACAACTTCATCATAGAGGTTCAAATCGATTACCATCTTTAAGCAATAACGTACAGGGATGACTATGTATTTCGATGACATGAATCTTAAGCCCATCCTTCTCACTATTAACCAAGCCATAAATATATTCTCAAGTTAATCCTAATGTAAAATCATGTGCCCGCATCTAAATATTAGAAATCTTGTAGAAGATGTAGAGAAATGGGGGTTTGAGATCGGTGTCAGTACAAGTTCGAGGGAGTGTCCATTATTAGATGAACTAAATGTTTAATAAGTCAAATATTACTGTCTATAATCTTTCTAAAGGTTATATTTTCATTTTATGCAAAAAAATATTTTATCTTTCCATGTGTCCATATAGATCGATAAAACGTGCAGATTTCAGTACAATAGCAGGAATCACAAAGGATACACATACGTATGTGTATCTGTAAAGTGAAAATTTAGATCGTTGAGACATATCAGACTTAAAGATAATTAAATGATATACCTCCGACGAACTTGCCACAAACAAAAACTTGAGGAACCGTCGGACAGCCGGTGTGGGCATGAACCTGTCGAAAGAGCTCATGACCACGAGCAAGTTTATTCAGTTCGTAGCTGACGTACGGAATACTCAAGTTGTCGAACAACTTCTTTGCTTGAATACAATATCCGCACGTGGTTTTCGAATAAATAACTACCGGATCCTTCTGAATCTAACAAAAATAAGATAAAGAAAGTGCATATCATAACCTAATAATTATCAATGTTTAAGAATACCTGTGTTTCAAGCGTTTCGGTGACATTTGATGATGACAGATTACCCATCAGTGAAACATCAAATCGTCATAGCCATTCTACCGTATATGACCTAAAAATAAATGTAGGTATAAATAGTAATTAAGACCTCTGGTATATGAACAAATCGATAATTTATACTTGCCGAATGCATCACACCAATCAATAACATATCAACGTGTGATATGAGCAATACACAGGAACTTAAGGCAGAAAAAATAAACCGAAAATGGAGAAAAACGATAAGTGGTGCATTCACCGATATTTCGGCAGATCCAAGTGGAAACCAACTGTTATGAAAGAATTCGACAGAAATGATTTATTCTGTCGAATTCTACCTTTCGCCTTCGGATAATGGCGTTCGATCTTGAATATGCCTTTGTTCAACCCAATTCGTAGACGCGATTTTGCGTCTTTTGCAATGCAACGACTTAGATATCATACAGCTGTGATATATTTAAATGGCAACCTAGGCGATTAAAAGCAATGGGATAGTGCAACAGAGCTACTGGTGTAAAGTGAGAAGTGCGTTTCCTTTCTTTACACTCTGCATTTTCGCCGTTTCAGTCGTGTGTCTAATGCAAATGATTCATTCTCTTTGGACATACCCTTAGTGGATTTCGACTACTATACAATACCACCAATGAGAGCTTGATTCTATTAGACTTCTAAAGCACAAATGTCATCCCGATTAACAACAATGTTATGACTCAACACGAGTTCTTCATCACAAAATGCAATCGATGTCAACTCTGGTGGAGTCAAGGGGATTCCCACAAAACTGGTCGGCAGTTCAACCTTAGCTTATGCAATCATAACTTAAAATGCAGAAACAATACAACTATGCACATTATTTAACGCAATCGACTCGTTAATCATTCACAGTTGCTTATGCATTTGAAATACGTGTAAACAGTAAGACATGTGTATATTTTAAAGGCTATTTTTGTTAGTTTCATTGACAGGATGAACACACAGGTTAGATTTCAATATGCAATTAATTGAGATTAATATAATACAGCATAGCATGAGAAAATTATAAAAATATTGAACATTCGTTCGAGCCTCGTCATAAAATCACCACGACGAAATGAATGAGTGGTGATTTCTTTCTTCACTTCGTGAATCACTCAATAACAGATAAAACTGTAATCTGTTTCGCCGTAAAAATGAGGAATTAGAATTCTTCATCTCTAATCATGACATTCCTTTTGAAATCTCATGAAACGCGACTGTTACCCACTTCGTTTCGGTTCTTGCACTGGTTGGGAAGCCACAAATACAGCAGCTTTTGATGCATCTTATTCTACAGTTTCTTCAAAGATAATTCAGATTTCATATTCATAACTTCTAAATTTTAACTATTCAGCACGTTTCACCATTTTCTAAACCCGATCTTCAAAAGTTTTGTCATTACCGATACAAAGCATTAACCGCGGACGAATTATCTTCTAAAATAGAATTGATACGATTTGTGGAACCTATTTCCATATTTGTGAATTTTTTGACTGCATGACTGATTTCCTGCATCTCCAGAAAAATATCATAGAAATCCTAAATATCTCGGACTTTTCAAATAGAATATCTATCTATATCCTTTGAGAAAACCGCTGTTAAGTAGTTTATGAGTTACGAAGAGGAGTTAAGAAAAAATTTTAGACTCTAAACTTTTTTACAACTTGATGTAAAGTTTGTATAAGACAGGAATTTATGTAAGTCTGCGTCTGTCTGTACTGCGAAATAACCCGAACCAAAGGTAAAAATCATCAAAGGATTTTTACCGGTCATTAGTCTTTTGTTCTTCCCTTTAGAAAAAGGCGATAGTGTGCCGCAGTAGTTTCTAAGATTTATTAAACGCGCATGTGTAATTCCAAGGCTTTCCGGACAGCCAGGGATATTTTGGGGGATAAGTGCCTGAGTATCTTAAGGCCGTTTCTTGAAATCGTTGCATTACTTAGTGACAAACCGCTGTTGAACAGACATTACAGCTAAGCTAATTTACACATAAGCACATAGACTGACGAAGGAAGCAAATCTTGGTTTCAAAAACTACGTTTGTTTACGTTTCACCAATTCTACTTCAGTGTTCGCATTTCTGACATCTTCAACGGTGACGATGATCCAATGATTGTTTCATATTCTGGCATCCATTTGACCTACGTAGAGAAGGAAAACAGTCGCATCTTTACAGAAATGTAATGTCAGGCAGTTCACCAGACTATTTCTGTAATAAATATCAAACATAAAATCATGCACAAATGATAAAAGTTTACAGAAAGATATGAGTAAAAAATGGGGTGATAGGGTTAGAGGATAAACGGAATCATACGAATTTCCTAATGTCATACCCGTCATCAGCAAGCAGCTCAATAACAGAAAAATAGGCATGGAAGTATAAATTCTGTGACCAGAATAGTTTCTACTGGCTGCACAACTGCGGCTGCGAATGAATAATAATTTTAATTATAACATGTGTTTCTTCGATGTAAATTTCTAATTAACAACAATATTACCGTACTAAATGCATCTCGCATCAGTATGCACGTGTTCACACACAAAGGAGTAGCGACCTACCAAATCCTCCCCTATAAGCAACCAGAAGCTAGGGGGGATATCTGCTACTGAAACCATCGGTGATGAGCGCCGCGCCAAGTACCTCTACGGGGAAAATAACGCTATAAAATTTCCGCCAGCTTACAGAGTCATCTACGAGTTTTAGGCGGTGCATACGCCGCGAAATCAGTAGTCTTGGAAGAAGCATTCACTTTTTGTAGAGAAATGCACAAAATATCATTCAGAATCATGAGATTACTACCAAT